ATGTTAAACTAGGCTGCTATACTCTATCCTTCGATTCAGCCTGAAGAAAACAGTGTCACAAGTCCCAACAGGAGACGGAGGTTTTTTGGCAGACCAAAGGTTCTACATTTCTCCTCATGAAACATTCCACGAACAAAACGAACCAGTCCCCTGCCCCACAAAAAATGTAACTAGGAAATTCTGTGTTTTGCTTATCATGCTGTACATAGCTTTGATAGGCATTGCTTGCATGCCTCCTACTTGTTTTGACTAAGATAGGCCTCAGGTTGTCTATCACACTGTAAAAAGCTAATTGTAGAAAAAGAACAGTATTTCCAAAGAACAGTGGAAAGATCGTTAATGCTGAATCCTTATCAGAGCTTCCTCAGGACTCAAGTCAATGAGATCTGTAAGCAGGTGTAAACGACCTCTCTTATCTATGAAATGAGGAAACTATGTGACAGAGCTTAGGCACCATTTGAACAGTAGGCTGAGTATGATTGACAGCAAACAGATCTAACTTTAATACTTTCGGAAGCTGAATGTCTCTGTGCGACTCACAGCTTGGACAACTCATCAGGGTCATCTAAAAATGTCACCTGCTAAGACATTCTGTAAACTGTTAGACACAGCTATGTCGCAGATGACATTGCAAGCACTGCGCAACCAGATTTTGTAGCGGTGTCAACTGCCTTTTAGTCAAATACAGTATGGATATTTTATCACTTTGTGTCAGTGTGTCCCTGTGAAGATGACTTAGGCTGGCATTTACTTGTGGGATTGGTTTTCTGATGACTAACAATGAAATTTTAGCTGCTTTGCCAGGCTATGTTGCTAGAAAGGTGTTCAGTACTCCCCTCTGCCTCCACAGAGCAAAGGAGGAGAGTGATTTTTCGTAACTATTCAAATTTTGATTCTAATTAATAGCTCAACATTATTTTCTGCCTCCTCCCGCATTTCTTCACAAGGCAGATACCACCTAACAATTGCTGTTGTCTTCTCCAGGGGTTCATATTTTCCATTCAACTTGGATTGCATGACAGTGTGACTCCCCCTCCTACTCTCTCTTCTTCTGCTCTTTACTTCCAAATTAAGGCAAAATACGCATGCTTTGTTTAACCAATCCTATTTAAAGTTATTTGTTCTCAAGCTCTCACCTAGACAATCAATTTAGCTGGCGCAAGAGTGCAAATTTATGACTTTGGTCATGAAGTTTAAGAAGGAACAGCAGTGGGGAGGACAGCTCTCATCTCTCTTTTCCTGGGCATGCTCAGCCAACTGGAGACTTCAGCATCCCTGATACTAACCATTCCGCTCTTGCTAAGCACTTCATGCATTTTGTCTTCAATGAGGTTTCAAAGATGACTACACATCATGTTGAGTCTCTGTGCTTGTGAAAAAGGCCTTAGGGTGGATTACAAAAACGTAACGCCAACATAACACAATATATGTTAGTACACAAAACAGAATGCTACTAAACCCTCTAACATGTTGTTAGTACTTTTAAACTTGGTAAGAAGAAAAAGACCTGTCACATCCAGAATCAATCTTTTAAATTTGACCAGGTTCACTGTGTGGCATCTCACCAGTAGTTTCTAGGCCTGCCTTTAGAAGACAGCAAACTAAATTACAAAACAGACTTCTTCTAAAAAACAACTGTAAAGTATCAGTTGACCTCCAGCATCTATAATCTTCGTTTAGGCCTGAATAAGTATCTATGTCACAACAGACACGATGAATGACAGCATTACAACAGCAAATGATTGAATAAACAGGCTGAATAAATGGTAGTTTCAGGCACCGTGTCTCCAGGTTGGAATTTGTTAGAACAAAAAAAAAAGAGCATCCTGTTGCCTTTGCACATTTATTCTCTGTCTTGAGAATAAACCTCAGCATTCAGCATCCCAAGCTTCTTTCAGCAAAACACTGTTAGAACTTACTGAACAACAAATGTTACCACCTGGCTTATGTCTCCAGCCTTTCCCCACTCTCCTCTACGTTCATCCTACACTATTTCATCCTTAGTTTCCAACAGAGATTGCTGTACTGTAACAGGAAATCTTCAAACGTGTAATTTCTTTCTATATCATTACTCAGCTGAGTTGCATAATATAGAGAGATATTTCCAGTTATCCTGCTAAAAGTACATTCTGAAAGAATGAGGACTAGAGCACAGCACATCTTCCCAGTAATCTAAATTACATTATTTTATGGACTAAATTTTTTGAAAGAAAATTCTTTTTTTTTTTTTTAATTTCTCAGGGAGCAGGAAGGGGTTATCTGCATATCAAAACAGAAACTTTGAGAACAGGTAGTTCAACTTGGTCAGTAAATAAAGCAAGATCTCCTTTTCAAGTAATTCAAGCAGGCCTAACTTTGATTTGAAAGTTACGTATATTCTTACTTATTTGGGATCAAATTCAATGTTTTGAAACAAAATGTTTAATGTCTATGAAATTGGATAAAAATCTTATTTGCTGGTAGAAAGCATCCTGGCTTAGGAAACAAACACATTAAAAAAAATTCAGAAATAGGATTTTTTTTTTAATATTCTATTATCATGTACTTCAAACCAAAATTTCTGCAGAAAGACAACAGCAAACTTTGCTCCAGGTCTCTAATCCTAAAGGCTGATGAAGAGATAATCAGACCAGGAAAAGACAAAAGAAGAGAGACTATTTTCTATACCCTTTGCCTGAAAATTCACAGTCCCAACAGAAATCAAGAAACAAAACCTGACTTCATTAGCAGCTCCAGAACGCAACCAGCACAGTGAAAACTAGCACCATCTTTGACCTTGAGGAAGGATATTGCTTCAACCAAACAAAAAGGATACTACACAGTCAGCATCTGTTTCACATAACTGCTTGGCAGCTGAATAAAAGAACCTTAAACAGTATGACTTCTGCTTAAGTTTTTTAAATAGTGGCTGTTAATACATTGCTTTATGAAGACATATGAAGCTTTCAGTTACCTAAACCTAAAAGACAATTTTAAAACAGAGTATCAAAAATAAAAACTTACTAGAAAAGTATCAAAAATTAAAACTACATAGAACTTCACCCTTTGAATAACATGCAACAACAGGTAGTGATTGTTAAAAACAGATGCCTTTCTACCTTCCTCCGAGTTCCCAAGATGAAATATCTGTACAAGACCTCCATAATACAGTAAAGAGAACTCAGCCAACAATACCATAAAAATTGAAGGCAAAAACAAGGAATCAGAAAAAAAACATAGGCTTCTGTTCAACACCAGAAGCAGACATTCCAAAATAAAATTCAGCTGTGATTAAATATGCAAGATGCTTTTCTTTATTTTCATACCATGCATACTCAGGCTTTACCTTTGATCAAATAGGAACACATCTCTGAACTAGAAGATTAAACACTGACCACCAACTTTCAAAAAGAAAACAAACTTTTGGAAGCTTGCCTTAGCTCCCTTACCTAGGCAATGAAAAGCTATCAGAATTAGCATTTTTCTCCAATATCTCACAGAAAAAACAATGTCATTTCTAAGTATGACATGTATACATCCATAGCTAAAGGGAAAAGAAATCAAAAGGTGGAGTAAAAAAATTCTGACAATTCTTCTGTCTTTGTGAAGAGATAAATGTGTGAAAAAAAACCAAATCAAATATTCTGGATTAGTTCAGGACATCCTGTCATGTGACATGAAAGCACTCAACTAAGATAAGGTTTCCTATTACACACATAGCTGCATAAAATAAAAGTTCTATGCTGAGAAAAGGTTAAGGAAGAAGTTTTAATGAGGATCTGCTATAGAACATTCAGATTCAATTCTTGATGCAAAAACTGCATTTACCTGTAAGAATAATGTATTTCATAGAGATTAGACAGCAGAATATATAAACTGGGCTGCAAAAGGTTTACCCTATCTAAAAAAAAAAAAGAAAAGTGACCTAAATGCACGTTATGTAGAGAAGACACTCAAGTAGAATCAATACTATCCCTGTGGAGTGGTTCCTTTATCAAACGAAACTTCTGCTTCTTTCACAGTATATATGCTCAAACAAGAGTATGCACGTTTAAATCCATGGAGCAACTGCAGTACAGAGGAAATGCTACCCATTTAATATGTGCTTATCTCAAAGCCTTCCTGAAACAGCTTCAGACAAGACAACCATTATGAAACTTGATTTGATCTCATGAAATTTCCTTCAAGAACCAAGTTAACTTCTATCCCAGAGCATTTAAGAGAGGCTTCAACCTTGCTCAAAATCTAATGAACATCCTCAAGATTCATTCTACTACATTTACACAGATAAGAAAGAAGATCTACAGAAATTCTAGAATATAAAGAAGATCTACGTGTTTTTTAATTAGAATAATATTGCATTAAATTAGACTCCACAAGAACTCTCCTTAGGAGAGGGCTTTCTTCCTTTTAACGGAGCTATCTCTTGATCACTTAAGACTCTGGGTCAGAACTGGGCAGCCTAATAGCTTACCTGTATAGAGACAATGAAAAAAACACGACGACAAAACAGTCATCCCTCCAAAACCCAAAAAATCCAACAAGAGAATAGATCTCAAAAAATACAACTCATTGGAAGCTGGCTGCCTTTGCAACACTTTCAGTGGTGCAGCAAAAATATTGGTGTTGCCAAATGTTCACAGTTACCTGAGCATGTGCTCGTAAGTAAACTCTTATACATACAACAGACACAGGGAACTCACTTCCTTGAGCTGCCACGTGAGCTGTACTACAACTGCAGTTCAGTTTCTATTTCTGTGTAACTTAACCACTCCAATCCAAGAAACTACATTAAGGAGATACACCACACTTCTCCACACTCCACTCCTCCTGCTTTTTACTTTTTGTTCTCTATAGTCAGCATTTGCGCAGTTTTTCTCAATTTCATCTGCTGTCATGAAACACTGACTTTAAATTCCAGCCACATTGATTTATTACTTTTAACTTTAAAACAACTAACAGTTTGGTAAATGCGATTCATACACTGCACGTTTTTACAATCAAATGAATAAATGCTATACCTCCAAGTTCTTTTACGTTCAAGATGGCATTCTGGAATGGCACTGCTTTTATACTAAAACCTAAGAACAGAAATAAAGAGTATTAGTTTATTATTTGTTAAACAGGCCATTTGTAATCAATTGCATACATTCAGAAAAGACAACTTTCTTCATCAAGAACCAGGATTTTGCATGTGAAATTGTTTCAATATGATATTTAAAAAGTTATTGGGGGGGGACGGGACGGACACATGGGGGATGAATCAGTATTTGAAAATTAAATTTGTAATGATACTATTAAATAGCTGGCACACATAAAATTCAGCACAAAACTTCTATCCAGGCCTTGTACCATTTGGTAAGGAGTTTGTAAAGAACATATCTTTATAAAACCATCTTTTAATACATACAGAACAAAAGTTGAGACTTCAGACTACCAGTAATATGAAGTGATCCTTCTGCAATTTTTAGGAGACGTGGAAGAAAACATGCAATTCAAATCAGTTTAGTGCATTTAAACTTCACAGGTTTTGGTAACACCTAGAGTATTATTCCTGTTTATAGAAGTTATTAACAGAAAGATGCTTTTACAGACCTAAGTGGTATGCATTAAAATGGTTACAAGCACACTAGAAGCATCTATGAACCCCCTATTAGACTGTTATATGCCTAAAACTCAAAAAAATTTTTAAAAGTGTGAGGTTTTCCCTTAACTGAAATTCAGACAGCCAAAGAGAAATGCAATGTGAAAGGCTCCCAGCAATCCATCAATATACGCTATACTAAATTCTGCGTGTTTACTGCATACATACACCTAAGTGTATATAATACTTTGTACAGGAAAAAATGTCTGCTCATTCAGCATAAGATGCCCAGACATTAAATTTATTTCCATCTAGTACAAGTAGTTTCAACATGATTCTGAACTGAGTAATTAAGAAATGCTTTTTTTGTTGTTGTCTTAAAAGAAATCCTAAACTCTTCCTAGAACAGAGGAAAAACTGGAACGGACCTGAGTGGTGTTGATGAGAAAAGCAAAAATACACTTATAGTTTGAAAACTGAGTGCAAGAGTTGTCACGTTGTATTCTTGGATTCTCAACAATATGTTTTGATATAGCACAGATACGGTACATATGAGTAGATTTCTTATAAGTTGAATAGCCTACAAATGCATCATCCTTGTTTGAATGCAGTCTGATTTTGTCCTCAAGTCACCTAGCTAAATAATAGTATTTTGTTGCAACTATCTAGATACATGTAAGACATTTAACTTAAAAATTAATCATGTTTTCATTATATCTTCTGATAGATCTATACTGCTATTTATATTGCTGTTACTATTTCCTTCAGTGTCTAAAGTGTTAAAGCATAACTTGTGCTAATTCCAGGTGAAGTCTGAAGATAAAGCTCAGGAGAGGGAAAAAAAAAGACAAAAAAAAAAGGCTGAATTACTGTACTGTTCCCTTCTAAGTTTTTGTGTTAGACATTGACACCTCCTCCACAAAATGCTGTCAGATCTCTTTCATATTCCCAGTAACACGACTGTGAAGACAATGGGTTAACTATTAATCACAGCAAAACCACAGTATTTTCTTGTACCTGTTTTAATATGTTTACTTACAAGTTGTATTAAATAACCTTACCTTACTGTAATTTAGACAAAGATACACTGAAAACCAGTAAGGGCTGCTAAAGGACATTCATAAAACTCAAGTACATGAACCACAGCTACAATATAAAGCCACATAACTACAAACACAAGTCACTTGCACAACACATTCTGTCTGCTCCCTCAGAAAATCAACCTTAGTAAACAGATGCAGCCACAGAACCAGATTTCATCCACCACTATGACCTAATCTGTCCTCTTTATGAACTTGGCAGAGAGGTATTCCTTTTTCTCACTCCACATGTTCGTTTGTGTTTTTTCTGGTGCTGTCTTGTTTTTTGGGTTTTTTGGTTTATTTTTAATCACAATACTCTTCAGTGTTGGGCTTTCTGGTTCATCTGTATCAGCGTGCACATTCAAATTTTTCAGACTTAAGATACCTTTCAGTCATGGTGGTTGTTTCTGTTTTTATGTATCTCCTCAATGCCATTGAAACTTTTTGTAAATTGATTCTCTCACCTCAGTCTGCACTTACTACATTAAAAAGTCTTTTTGCTGATCTAAAAACAAAGGATTATCACCGGAAATAAACATTTCTATCACGTTTATTCTTTTGGTTGCTAGCAGATACCACAAGGCAGTACTGACCAAGTATGAGAAGAAATAAATCACAGAATCATAGAATCATAGAATGGTTTGGGTTGGAAGGGACCTTAAAGATCATCTGGTTCCAACCCCCCTGCCATAAAAGCAGGGCCACCTTTTGCCAAACCAGGTTGCTCAGAGCTCCATCCAACCTGGCCTTGAACACTGCCAGGGAGGGGGCAGCCACAGCTTCTCTGGGCCACCTGTTCCAGTGCCTCACCACCCTCATGGTGAAGAATTTCTTCCTAATATCTAATCTAAATCTGCCCCCTTTTAGTTTAGAGCCATTGCCCCTTGTCCTATCACTACACACCCTTGTGAAAAGCCCCTCTCCATCCTTCCTGTAGGCCCCTTCAGGTACTGGAAGGCTGCTATAAGGTCACCCCGGAGCCTTCTCTTCTCAAGGCTGAACAGCCCCAACTCCTCCAGCCTGTCTTCAAAGGAGAGGTACTCCAGCCCTTTGATCATCTTCGTGGCCCTCCTCTGGACCCGCTCCAACACATCCATGTGCTTCTTATATGGGGGGCTCCAGAGCTGGACGCAGGACTCCAGCTGGGGTCTCACGAGAGCAGAGTAAAGGGACAGAATCACCTCTCTCAACCTGCTGATCACGCTTCTCTTGATGCAGCCCCGGATCCCAAGTTAAAATTCAGAGCATCACTGTCCCATTCTATTTTATAGCACATTTTCCTCTTTTCTGTTCAAATAACAAGACTGCTTAAAAACCAAAAGCAAAAAAAGAAGAAACCTTTTAATGTGTGTCTACACTACACTGCTATTGTGTGTTTCCAATGGTTCTACTTCATTACATCACAGTGTATGTTTTGATTTTAAACGCATTCCAAATTGCGTATTTTCACAGATATTCCCCAGTGTTTGACCAAACACCGAAACAGTAAGTAGTGGTAGCTTCAAATCAATCCACTAAGTACTTTAAAAGCAAGATAACTAAGCTGAAGTTCTCTACCACCTTTACTACATGTTTCAAAAGTTAGCTTTAGGCAATGTTACAGCGCACTATAGAATAAAGGCACCATCTTACCTGTGGTAGACACTATGTTCTCCGGGCTTTCACTGCAAAGCTGTGACAGAAGACTTGTCTTGCCAGAACCAGTGAGGCCTATGCAAACTAAGTCATATTCAGGTCGTGGTGGTGGTGGCCCCTTGCAGCAAAGTGCTCTAAAACACTGCCAGGGTAGGGAAAAACAAACATAAAAATAAAATTAAGTTACTTTTTTTTGCAAATGCTTATTCAACAAGGTTCTAAAAATCAAGTTCATAAATGTAAAGGCACTAGAGAGAAGGAAATTATTATTCCAACTAACTATTTTGACAAAATCAACAACTAACAGACTGAGACCACCGCAACTAAAATCTAGAACAGCTTTATAAGAAAACATAAATACACTTGTTAACTTTTCACCTAAACCTCATGAAACTGGATTTAGGAAAGTGATATCCATTTCCTGAATAGCACTAACCATGCAGATACAGCGAGATAAGCACATGCTCTACTCAACTCTGCAGTTAAGTATGCATGAGTTTGCTTCCTGTGCTAATTTCATACAATACTTGGTGTGAACATCAGAGCAGCTCCTGAGCAGCTGCTGGCCAGGCACTACCTGAACTTTGCTCCATTGATGTCCTTCCCAGGCTTGTTCTGTCATGTGTTTTACCTTACAATATCAGCTGTTAAACAGTACAGCTTGTAAAGAAATAAAATTTGCTGGACATAGCTCTAGGTATAAATATGTAGATCTCTCCTTTCTCTGGAGAAGTATAAATTAATCACAATATAAAGAATAAAAGTCTCTCACAAAAAGAATACTTCAGAGTTCTACTCGCGTCTCTTCAAGAGTATTGCTGAAGCAGGCCAAGCTCATCCAAAAGGTCCTTTAAGCCCTCACTAAGGTTCATCAGACCTTTTTTTACACGTAATTTGGATTTTTTTAATGTAAAAATCTAAAAATGTAACATTCTGGGAAAGCCAGGAAGTTTATATTTAAGGCATGGGGTATAATCACACACTAATGTCCAAGACAGGCCTCTACCATCCCAATACATATAAACACCTATTCCCCCCAGTATCTGCCCCCTTCCTATCAGAGGAATACATGTGCTATAACAACGAAGGGAAAATATGTTTGTGTAGTCACTCTTCTCTCACACATTCCATCTTTACATAGTCCTAGCTCTTTTTTTCCATCTTAACCACAAGCCAATAACTGGATTGAGTCAAGAAATCCAGTCTTTACAACCCTAACCTAATTTGTCTATGTGACTACCCAGGATCTCTCGCTGAGGACTAGAGCATGACTATAAAAAGACAGCTCACTGAATGCAGAACTTTTATTGGATTCTTTCTGTATAGATGGTAAGTTGTTATACACTTTGCCGAAAAAATCTTCATTGAATTAAAGAAGCAAAAGATAAGTTCAGGGAAAGTTACGAAATTCCTTCAACACCTTTTAAAAACGTGAAAGGAAATATTTTGGGAGTAAAAACATTTACAGTAGTAGTAAAGCTGACCAAAGGCAACACATTTTAAAAATAAAAACTTTGTCCCTATTAAAATTTGACTCAAAAATTATTTTTTTCAAGAAGGTTTGCTTTATGTGTGTGCCAAAGCTAAACAGAGTAAACATGCCTTCTAGCTTTATTCACTGACGTCAGTTAGTACTTATCGCACGCTTTCTGCAAAGCCACAGCAAATATTCTGCTCTGGTACTTAAGTGAGAAAGGCCAATTGAGTTCATTGCACAACATAAGCTTCTTCAAACAGAGCTTCCACTTAATGGATATCACACTGAAGGCCACATAAAATTTTTCGAAGCTTGCCAGAACTCCTGACGCTGTGTGTCAGGCCCTTTGCAGCCAGTCTTTAAAAAGGATTCAATATGTCCTCATCAGCACAGCATTTTTCCGACAACTTCTTAATGTCATATTGAAAAACAAAGGAATAGATCAGCTGATGAAAGTCTGTGCTTCTCTCTGTCCAGACACTGTGCCAGTTCTGATGCAACCAGACACAACTCTTGCGGCCCTGACAACATTTAATAACCTCCAGTTCTGTCAAATATAATTACTGCTCTTTGTAGAACACACTTGGAGTTTCTGTGGGTGACACAGGGGCTCTGCAGGCTGGTTTTGTGAAGTTCAGTATCTCTTTAGTCCAGATCCCTTAAGTCTGAGTTAGTCTGGACAATCTTCACATGCTCTTGAGTAAATGTGTGACCAAAAATACAGGTCAAATTCCATTTCCAAAGCAGCATACGTAGACCCACCACCCACTCACTCATCCTTCACCAGTAACAAAGTTAGGTATGAAAGTTCCCGAGACACAGCAGACACAGAACCCCACATGACAGGGAAATTCCTTCCTCCAGGCCACTCTTGTATTTTATTTGATTTGATTCCCCTGTCTTTGTTATGTTCATGACTTTGTCCTTCTGCAAGGCATTTTCCTTCAGTAGATATTTTTGTTCGGTTTGAATGAGAGCTGACTTCAACTATTCTAGCTCTCAAAAACTCCTGAAATTTAAGCTGCTGCATACAGCTCTTACCACTGGCTGACATGAGAAATTCTACAGCCCTTTTTAGGGGATATTTCTAATAATGTATTTAAATTTTATAAACTTGTTTCGCAATCCTTATTCAAACTCAACAAACATCTCTTCCACTGGAAATATCACTACACAAACAGTCCGATCACTGCCTTCCTGCTCTCTCAGCAGCTTAAAGTTACTTGGCCCCTAAAAAAGTCAGGGCTATTTAAACATCCATTATAGACACTAAGCCTCTATTGTCACAATTTTGGCAGCTGCATCTAGTAGCTGCACAAGATCTGTGGAGAGCAGAAAACTCAGAGGTCATTGACCATGCAAATAACATTACATCCCATATTCTGCTCTTGATTATGGACAGGAAACGCATCCTGAAATATTTTATAAAGCATGGGCTAGAGCTACACCGTTATTTATTTAAGACGTCATCACATATTACAGTGCAGTCTGAAATGCACAGAACTGCAAGAAATGTGTATTAGTGACTGAAGAATCTATTCCTGAAATCCAAAACACAAATATATCAAAAACATTGACAGAGTTGTTCAGTTCACAACTAGCACTCAGTCATTTCCAAATCTGGCATACTTTCCACTCCATTTGGACAACCCAAAGGGTACAAGAGGAATTCGAATTAACAGCCTGACTGGTCTTGAAATACTTGTCAGATGTGGACCTGGAAGTCTCTTCCATTCATTCCCAAAACCGATTTGCTTGATGAGTGACTGTCCAATAAAAGGCTGCCTTTTAGGTATAAAACAATCTTCAAACGCAAATCAGGCCACTTGGGGGGAGTGTCGGGGAGGACAGACAGAAAGTATCTGACTACCGCAAATACAGGGTCAAGTGGCGCTAGCAGGCATAGTCACTTAAATGTTGTTTGGGGTATGGTCATGCATTTCAGCCCCACTGCTGGCCACAAAAAAGGAACAACATTTTTTGGAGCCCTTTCGTCCCATGAGGGTAAGACACTGCCTACTTTAAAGCGAGAGACATGTCAAACAAAGTGTCAGTTTTCATGATTTTTGAGAACATCACACTCCAAACTCTTTATAGCCATTGGATGTGGAGAAGAAGCAGGCAAAGAGGCAGTGAGGGACAGTCAGGAGTTAACTGTTTTTTTCTTTTTTTTTTTTTTAAATGAATGAGCAGATTTTAACATACTGGAAATAAAACAATACAGTATCTTGAAAAAATGTATGCATTTAGCCAGTTTTGGAAATAAAGACATTATTTATTCAGGAAACTGGGAGTAATTAGGTTCTGCAGTCTGCAGAAAACTGTGCAATATTCAGCACCACTGTTACTTTCATTTTACCTGTATGTGTGCATGCATGTGCATGTTCATGTATAACCATATGCAAGAGCTAATGGAAGAAGGTAGCCAGTCCTACTCCTCCTTAGGGATTTCTATCCCAATCAGATGATTCCAGGTTTAGGTGGATAAGTATTTGAGCTGACAGTCCTAGACAGTGTCCCTTTAAAGACCTATGGAGATTTCTTCCTGGAAATGCATTAAATATTGTGCCTATAGCAGAGGTGGCCAAACACTTCTGATATATCTGCTGCTCAGAGATCACAGATTGAAGCTCTGGGCAGCAAATGTCCCTGAATTACTGCTCTCTCCAAGACATTATGCTGCCTCCGGCCATCGAGCCTGTCTTTGCCTACTCATTGTACTTCTCGTTTCACTCTCCTTTTTGGGGTGAAATACTCCATTATTTCCACTTTGTTCTGGACCCATCTCCTGTCTGTTTCTTTTGTTGCTGCTATTTAATAGGGACAAACAGAAGCAAGGGATTTCATGCTTGGTTGATTAAATACACACACTCTCATGCAAAAATACCCTAAGTTAGTGTAACATTAATGCTAACAAACCAAGCATTCAAAGCTCTTGAAATCCAGAAATTAGGCTGAAAGCTCAACCATAACTCTGCTCCCCTCCCCCTCTTGCTTATACTTATGGATATGGTCCCCCTTTGCATTCTACTTTTCAATTACGGTATCTTTGAACAAACAGACTTCTAGTACTCGGCACACACTTCTACCCAGAGGACTGGTTAATCATCTGAAGCTGTCGATGAAAACTCAAGGACATTGCTATAAAAAGTCAAATTTACACACAGCAAGCTCAATAGCTCTGACGCTGTACAAGATCACACAAGCACAAAGAAGTCTCAAACCCTGAAGAGATAATGTGAAAGGTGGCAGAAAATACCAAGGTAGACAGTCGTAACACTAGGGATAGAAAAGAACTGAGGACAGCAGAGGAGTAATTGAATGCAAGTAATAAAATACTCAAGGCACCTGAGTAAAATTACATACAGCTAGGAGAGACAGGGGAGAAAAGGGATATATAAGTAAATAAATTTTAAGTGTCTGAATACCTTAACATACAATAGAACTATGTATTTTACTATGAGCTAAAGCTGCAGGCTCTTCAGTTTCAATACTACTGCACAGCTGGTTTTACCACTACAAAAAAAGGGAGGAAGAAGAAAAAACTACCGATGTTAAGACACATAACCAGTGACATTGCTTTCATGTTCTTAAAATACCAGATTGATAAGGTTCATCTTCATCTATATGACAACAGTTATGAGGACAAAACCCAACAGATTGCT